CTGGCTGCAATGCTACCAATTAATTTACAAATCTGTGCAAGGTGAATTCACTGCTCTGATATTCCATGTATTCATCCAAAATGTATTATCAGCATTATGCACCTCATAGGTAGATATTGAAGCCCCAAAGTGTCAAAAACAAAACATCAAAATGCTAAAGCACTAACATTTTAAAAGTTACTGAAATTGTTATAATAAACAGTTTTTCAAGCTATTTTCTATTGAAAATTGTTTGTGTTTCACTTAAAGATTGAGAAACAAGATAGTTTCAGTTGTTCCCGCCACCAAAGGCTCCCATTTCAGACGCCATTTGGCTCAAAATATTGAAACTTTGGAAAATGGGGAAAACCCAGAATCATCACTTTCTATTTCTACAAGAAAGCTACCCCTCGTGATTAGCATGCCAGCCGCAGAAGCCAAGGCATTTTCCATGATTGCTTTTCATGTGCGTGGACTTGGCTTCCAACTATCTTTTAGGCAGAATTTTCTTCTGTGGTAACATTAGATTACATTTAATTCTAAGAATATCACATCACAGCACTTTTTTATATTGGATGGACAGACAGTGAAACAGATTTCTGATGGGATGTTACTTAAGAATGCCTATGGATATTCATCAAAATCCACAATAATCCACAAGTATTTTGGAGTAAGTTGTACCTCTTAGTATGCTTTCATTTCAATAGCTCTTATAGTTACACTTTAAAAATGTTTTAATTTATAACTAAAGGTCATTCTCCCCGAGATTTTAAAGCCTTTCACTTATAAAGTGATGTTTCCAAGATTAAAAGTCAAGATGTTCATCAATTTTTCAAATGAAATCCTGCCATTCTACAGTCATTTTAAAAGCTTAAAAACTCACAGAATCTAATCACAGGTCCCCAGTTGAAACATCTACTCAAGGTGGTCATGTGTCTTCTGTTTGAATATCCCCAGTGGCTGAAAGTTCATAACTCGGTAAGGGTGCCCGCTCCACTCTTTGACAATATTTATACTTCATCTTCTTTAGACTTAATCAAAACGCACTGCAAATTTTGCCTATTGGTTTTAGTTATGTCCTTGAGATACAGGATAAATGAGTTTTAGCCCTCACTCTAGTAGTGTCTCTAAGTTTCATCTTGAAGTCTTAGTTTCAAATACCATTTTCAGAACGGCACCAAGACTCCAAAGAAAAGGAAATGCAAAATATCATTATTTCTCTTGGGCATTCATATTCTCCTTTCACATTTCATTGCTGGCTGAAGAGCGACCTGCACAATGAAGCCTTGATTGAGCCCCAGCGCACGCTCCCCGAGGACCCGGGGGGCCTACTGCGCAGAACTTAGCACAATGGAATTTGTCTTTTCTCCTGGGCTGTCAGCTCCATGAAGTCAGAGCTTTGCTTCTCGTAGTCATTCTTAGGCGCTTAGGAGGGAGCATGTGATTTTATATATATATACATATATATATATAAATGATTAAATACATGAATGTACGATTGATTCACAAACATGACTAAACAAGCAAAACAGAGATAGACTCATAGAGAGAGCAGGCAGACAGCTCTGAGGAGGAGGTAGGTGCTGCGGGGGTGGAGGGATTGAGCAAAAAAGAAAAAAAAAAAAGAATCTATGGGCATGAACAACAGTGTGGTGATTGAGGGAGGAACAGGGGTGGGGGTACAAGAGGGTATAGGGGGTGATACATGGTGTTAGAAAAAATAAAATAAAATAGAATAAAGAATAAAAACATAATGCTTCAACAGCCTTAGAATTTTCTGTTCTGCTTCTCTTTTGGGATCAGTTCAGTGACTCCCAATATCCTGGGACAGCAGGTCGTCCAGGGCACAACCCCTTGCTAAGTTCCTATTTTCAGGTTTCTCACTAGACTGTGGGGAGATAGCCTAGAATCCACAGGCAGACACAGGGGCGTAACTTGTATGTACAATGCAGTCATTCAGGTGGCTTCGAGGGGCACATTATTTACATCATTCGATGTGGAAGAAGCTGCCGTGATTGTGGACATTTGCTAAACCTACCTAGGAGATTACTTCTCAGAACAAGGCTTGCTGGAACTCTATGAGATGATCAAGGTCAGTGGACATCTATTTGTCCTTCAGGCTAAATGGATATTTGTCCCAGAGGGTAATTTCATTTTGATCCATTTTGAGCATAATTGCTGAGGAGGATTTTGGTGTGTGCATGAAAAATATTATTGAAGGCAGAGGCAGAAAGTCTAGGAGCAGGGCTATTGCCATGGTCTGACGATGGGAGAGGCTACACGTGAGTGATGACCAGGACGACCAGGACCCAGAAAAGGGACCATGGTGCCAAGTCAATCTGAGAGGCTTGGCAGAGAAAAAAAATCTGCAGGACTTACAATCAGCTGAATATGGGATTCGAAGAATGAAAAAACTCGACTCAGAGGTGGTTCTATAAAACCTGGGCAGAAGCTATTTTATACTGAATACATGTTTAAGATCAGTTAGAAAACACTCGAATTTAATAGACGTTCTCTTTTTTTTCTACAATGAAAATAATCCAGTTAAGTAGAGCAATTAGTAGTTTTACTTGATGGTTATGATGAGCCATTTGAACAATGATCTATTTTAATTTAAAATTGCACAACTGCATAAAATACCATGCTGCTTCAGTGCTTTCATTAGCTACTCCGACTGCAAGGAAGCCGCGCTGCTCAGACCCCAGCCCATATTCAAGTTCCGACGCCTTCCTGGCAATAGCTTGTCCCGATTAAGGATCATTGGGCGACCTACCGGGTGTCAGTCCTGCAAACTCAGCTTTGCAAAGTGTGGAAGCATCGCATCGGGAGAAACTCTGCACTCGGGACCCAGAGTAGCCCAGGCAGGCCTCTGGGCTCGGGCAGGTCTCACGCTCGTGGAAGGAAACAGAAACGATCACAAGACCTCTTGGTCATGGGTTTTCTGACACAGGCACCAGCAAATGCCATGTGCAACTGAAGTGCTGTGCGGCCGTAGAACCAAGCCTAGTCACAGCAGAAACAACGAATACATGGAAATTCTCTGGGATCTTATCTTTACCTCTTGGTGGTAACTATACATATACTGATGATTAGACGATTAGCATGCTTCTAAAATGTTTCCTCTTTTTGAAACCTATGCAATATGTGTGTATAGTATGTATACACATATATGTATACAAATAAATAGATTTCTCCATGTGTGGGGTGGGCCGGCGTCTGAACAGGGTATTTCTGACATGACATACGAGCGGCTGTGTCTAAATGTTTATCAGGCTAACACCGCTGAATCCAGCAGTGGGACAGGGGACACCACACAGCACAGAGGAACACCTTCACTTTGCATGTGATATTCATCTTAAAACCATTTATAAGAAGCAGGTTCTGCTCTTAATTCTCAAAAAATCTAAATATTTAACTAAAGCCGACATGGAAAAAAATAAAACCACTGCCCCACATTTTCTAAGACATGGATATTTGGAGAATTCAGTCAATACATTTCAGAAAGCCTTGCAGCAAAGAAACCGTCACTGGGTCCAAATGAAAATTAACTACCTGCTGAGTATCTTTCGAGCCAAACGGATCTGCCTGAGCACTAAAGCCAGCAGTTGTGAAAAGACAGGGCGCAGCTGGGGACGTGAGGCTTCCCATTCCCATCCGTCGTCACTCATCTCACGGCTGCGCTTGCCGGCCACGTCCTGTCTCAGAAATTGTGTCGGTTTTAGGCGGTAACCTCCATGGAGGTAACCAGAGCCCCCTAAGTGAAATCCCCAGCCACGGCGTTTCTTTCCGTCTTGGCTTCTGTGCTTTCTCACGTCCCTGACTCCTGACAGAGCGCAGCTTCACTGGGTTCTGTTCCACTCATTGTGCAAAACTGGAACATAAGGCCCCAAGAATGACTACCTTTAAGGTCCTATCATGTTGTCTTTAAATAACTCTCCATTTCTCAGCCCTCTATCAGCCTAATCTAAACATGAAATCCCAAGGCAGACAGGGCCCCAGCTCACAGCTGAGCCAAACACAGCAGAATGTCGGCTGCGCCGGCCACTCTCTGCAGCCGTCTCAGTAGGTTTTGCAGAAAATGACATTTCTTCAGGTATATAGTTTTATGTCTTTTAAATGAAAGTTATGTGGCTTTTCAGAGCAGGGCCAGACTCCCTGCTTCTGTACTTCCTGAGGGCCCATTAAAAGGCAGACACTAGACACCTAAGCTGGGTTGCAAACTCCTGGAGCACCGGGCCTTAGCTCTTTCTAAAGCCCGGGACTGTCGCATGCAATGATCAATTAAAAAATAAAATACTACAGGAGTTAGATGTAATGTTGAAGCCATTAAATATGTAACTGGTTTGCTCATTTTTTATGGGGCTTTTTTTGGAGGGGGGGGGAAGAGCCTAAGTCCTGGGGGGTGTTTCCTTTTTCAAAGAGATATTTGCCTTGGTCACATATCATTTTCCATCAATAACATAGGAGTCTAATACTATTTTTTGTTGTTGTTGTTTTGAACGATTTCCAAATGTCCCAAGACCCCTACAGCAGTCAGTACGTCATCTATTTTCATTCCAGGGATTGAACTGTGACTTCGATTGCAGCTATTTGAATTGGCCCATAGCCACCTGTACCCTGCATTTTCTCTGCGCTGCTCTGAAGCGTGACAGAGAAATGCGAGATGGTAGTCGGTGAAAATAGTCCTTCATCCCAGCAATGGCAGCTGGGTGACCGACTGCGTGGCCAAGCATGTGGCTCAGTCTACGGAATGGAAGGCACTGTTCAAAGCCAGATTTCAGTCTGTTCGAAGGATTATATTTCTGTCATCACAACATCTCCTTGACAATCCCACCAATTGAAAAACTCCCAGCAGAAGCCCAGTGATTAAATTCTCCTGGAGCATAACTTTTTCCAGTTTCTGGAAACAATCTACTGCAGTCCCTCCTCCCCTCACCATAAAACCCGAAAGATCATTCCATTTCTAAGACGGAGCTATGGAAACATATGACTCGCAACCAACCCTTCCTCTCACAGCTGAAATATAACGCCGGTCCCTTGAGTTTGAAACGACTACGGAGAGACTTAACCCCCAGCCACTGAGAGGCTGTTCCTGCTTAACAGTGTATCATACCTGTACTTTCAAACTGGTCTGTGACCCAAACATGATTCAGATCAGCAATGCGTGGCCACTGGACCCTTAAATTAAATGTGGAGAAACAATCCTTTGTGCTCACGTGCAGAAACAAGAAGGAAGCATGTTGCTTATGTCTAAGAGCGAAGCAAACCCCTGATCACCCACTTTCATTTCTGATTTATACCCAAGCCATCTATGCATCTTCACCAAAAGTTAGAAGACGTTTCCTCCTAATATTGTAATTGTCACCAAGTCCTTAATAGAGGTACCTGTAAGGACCGACTGATCTGGGGCAGGATTTGAAGTTAGAATTCCACTGCCAGAGAGGCTTTCCTGGCTGGACTCTCACAATGGTTTGCAATAAGACCTTTCTGGCAGAAGAAAACAGAGAAGATAATATATTTCCCCAAACATGTACAATGGGGCTATAGTGCTATCAGGTATAAGCTTGGGACCTGACAGGGACATGGGTGAGGCGTCCATCAGAAAAGGCCACGCGTCCCGGAAATCTGGCAGTGAAACTCGCACAGCGAGGCTTTGTCCTTGGCACGAGGCGAACTTGGGGTAATGAAAACCAGAAACTTAGAAGGAAAATCTGAAATGGGCCCCCTCTCCCCACTGTGCCCAAGAGTCTGTCCTTATTAGCCTCTGTGCGAAATTCCAGTGACTGTTTTCTTACTTAAGTGAGTTATTTTGACATATGTTGCTACTTTTGCTTCTGCTGTTTTATTTCAGGTCCATTAGCCTGCTTTCCATTATCGCTCAAAAAAGCCTAGAAGTAAACGCTGGCACAGAGCTCCATTTCCTGTAACCGCAGTTCCCACCCAGGGTCTGCTGCTCTGCGGCTGAAAGAGCACTTAAAGCTGAGCGCTTCTGCAGACCAGCTCCGGGCCTGGCTTCGTCCGCTGCTCCTCTCCACTGCAGCAAAGGCAAAGGTGGCCACTCGAAGGCGGGCAGACGGAGCTGTCCAAACAGCCCAAGCTGAACCCGGCCTCCGCGGCCATCTGGGAACAGGCCCGCAACCTGGGCCAACCCCTGGGTTACCTCTCTGAGGTCCCTCTGAGAACAGGCGACTCCCATGCCACCTCAGCATACCTCAGGGATACAGTGCACAAGTTGACATTAGCCACGTGGCAACTCCCAGCTCCTAAATGATGGAAAGGGAATGGGCAGGGAGGGGCGACATGCAAAAAACGTCACTAAGTCGTCCCGGTGTATTTTAGTCTTGGAAATGGAAGCGGTTTTACAGTTATATTCCTGCAGGACAACCAGAGGGTTTTGAAAGAACTTCAGACAGCCTTGCGGTCTTCAAGGGCTGAATGTAAAGAGAACAGGTCACATCGCATTTTGTCGGTGGACGGTGGTTACAGGAGGATGGTGTGGGGCAGGGGAAGGCGAATGCGTAGGGGGAGCAGGGAGCAGGGAACAGTGCCATTTATACGAACATCCTTTGAATCTTTAAGATAAATGATACAGGTGAACATAGAAGTTCATGCTACTTGCTGGAAGCGAGAAAGATCGAATTTTGTGGATCATTTTCCACCAATCGCCAGGTATCCTGCCTCGTCCTCTGTGGGCTAGCCTATCGTGTTGTACATCCTGGTAGCCCTTAAAAATTGGTGGCATGGTCTCAGATAGATTCTTGCAGGAGAGACAGATTTCTGGATTCCACCAGCTTCTTCCAGGGGAGCTGCCCGATCGCCTGGAGGGCACAGGTGATGTGCTCGCTCAGGTTGTCTTTGCCCATCTACCAGGGTCAAACAGTAGTTTCCAGGTCCTCATGGCCAATGATCTTATAGTTCTGACGGCTTTCTAGGTAAGCAGCCAAATCAGGGTCCCCAGCCTGCTGAGCTCTGTCCTGAGGTGTCTTACCCTGCAGGTAAAAGTGAAAAGAAACACACACACTTGGGATGAGATTTTTTTTAAATCCAATTACCAATCGGAGAAACAGTGGGTCCCCGAGAAAGATGAAGCATAACTGCAGCACTTCATACAGTAGGGTCTCTAGAACATAACGTTGACTTTACCTACTTAAGAAAACGAGAGAAAACAGGCATACCTCCATGTGAAGTGAGATCATTCAAATTTTAATAATATAGGTCTAGACTGTGGAATTTTCTAGCTATTTTGACTTTGTTTTTGTAGTTTTTGCTTCACTCACGTTTTCCGTGTGAGAAGGTACTACATTTACAATCATAAAAATAATGAAGTTGTGTGTGTTTTGGAAAAAAGCACACACATAGCACAAAATAGGAAGAAATCTCAAGGAACAGGGAGCCCATTAACCTGATACAGAAACTTAGGAAGACAGAGCAATGTGCTCAGGGCCCAGGTCTCCTGCCCAGTCTTTTGGTTGTTCCTCTAGTGCATGTTGCTCCTCTCTTTCTTTTCATTATCTGAGCTGAGTGTAAGACCGTCCTTTGTGTGGTAAACAGGCAACTGCCCAGCGGTGGTCTGAGGGGCCCCGCAAGGCCCGCTCTACCTTAGGTCCTGGCCTCCACTGATCCTGCCCACACAGTCTGTGTTTCTCATTCAGGTTGCACATCAAACCGTTTGAGTGCAAATATTATCTAGAAGGATGAGCGATTATCTGACATTTGAAATGTATCCCCAATTAGCTAACCAGACAGGTAACATGCCAGCTAGAAACCGGGACACAGCTCAATGTGCTTGAAGCCTAGGGAGGCAGCCAGGGACCTCAGTCAGAGAGCAAGGCTCTGGGAGGCTGCAAGGGAAATGGAGAATTATACCCTGGGACTGACTCAGAACTGGCTCGGAAGGGAGGACGTCCCACAGGAAAGTTATTTCGCAGCGTGCACAGCAGTGTGAGGAAACGCCACGGGAAAAAACTGCACATAGCAGATGCCCATCACTTAAGTCTAAAGGGGCGTAAGTGTTTATTAGGCTCCTAAGTCATTGGTCCGTGTTTCTTGCCTACATTCACTGGCCCCAAACTTAGATTACAGGGTACCTGCTTAATGAAGTCCTCCCGTTTATACTCAAATTCTTCTCCGCCACCCTCTGCAGCTAAAGTGGCTTGGCTTTCCTTGGAGTCTCCCCAGGGTGCTTGGAAATTCTCAGAGCTGACCAGGCTCCTCTGTGGGGTTGATCTGCATGAACTGTTCTCTCCCTTGGGCTGCAGTCACAGGTCGAAGCTACTCCGCTGTAACCCCTCCTTTCCTCCAGCTCCCACCCTTTCCTTAGCTGTTCTCTGTAAACTGGAAAGACTCATGTGCAGCCTGCCCTCCCATCCTGAAGTGCCTGGAAATCACTCTGGCACACAAATATGGGCACACAAATATGGGGCCGCATAAATCACAGATTTTAAGCTACACTGGATGAGGCAGATGAAGGAGAAATCCCCAAAGGGGCTTCTCAAAGGCCGGGCCAAAGTCTTTGAGCATAAGCCTGACCCCTCTCCTGGGGCTTTGAATCTCACTTCCCCGCAGCTTGGCTGCTGGCCTTCACCAGGAGAACCCCAAATCCCGAGGCCAGCACGTTCAGAGGTTTATTAAGCCCCATAGGCGAGCACACACCCTCCCTTTGTGCTTATACATTTAAACGGCACTTTCTCTAAACGAAGCACTTCATTTTTTTCCACCTTTTTCCAAAGCCCCCCTGCACTTTCATAGGCACAGAAAGGATGCCTTTGCTGCAGGCACAAGTGAAGGCAGCCGGGCCTGCGTTCTTGCCCGGGGGTGGATGTTTGCACTCGCTCATCGAGTTACCTTGGAGTCCGTCTTTCTCAGAGATGCTCCTGCGTCCACCAGAAGCTGGCACACGGCCCGGTTCCGCTGGCAGGCAGCCTTGTGCAGGGCGGTCTCACCCCTAAATCAAAGATGAAATGGAAACCACTCATAAGGGGGCTGGGGGTGG